AGGCCAGCCTGGGCTACCAAGTGAGTTCCAGAAAAGGTGCAAAGCTACACAGAGAAACCCTGTCTCGAAACCCCCCCGCCCCCAAAAAAATAATAATAATAAAAAAAATAAAAATTTTAGTGGGCTGGACATGATGGAATATGCCTTTATTCCCATTACTTAGTAGATAGAGACAGGTGGATCTCTGTGAGTTCAAGGCTAGCCTAGTCCACAAAGCAAGTTCCAGGTCAGCCAGGGCTACATAAGAGACCACGCCTCAAATCCCAAATAAATTAATCATGTTAGGAATTTGGAATTAAATTGACAGACTAGAGGACTAGATAGTGGAGGTGACAGAGTATTTACTAGGTAAAACCAGTGTGGTTTTCTTTCACACACTTTGTACTGGCTAGTTTTATGTCAACTTGACACAAGCTAGAGTCATCTGAGAAGAAGGAACCTCAATTGAGAAAATGCTTCCATAAGATCTGGCTTTAGGCATGCCTATAACACATTTTCTTAAGTAGTGATGGATGAGGAAGGGGCCAGCCCATTGTTAGTAGGACTATCCCTGAGCTGGGTTCTGTAAAAAAAAAAAAAAAAAAAAAAAAAAAAAAAAAGCAAACTGAGCAAGCCTTGTGGAGCAAGCCAGCCGGTAAGCAACACTCCTGCTTCCAGGTTCCCGCCCCGTTTGAGCTCCTGTCCTGACTTCCTTCAACGATGGACTACCATGTGGAAACACAAGACAAATTAACCCATTCCTCCCCAACTCATTTTTGGTCATAGTGTTTATCATAACAATGGTGATATGAGCTAGGACATGCTTGTACACATAATCTTATAAAATTTTACCTCTGTTTTGTGGCAGGCAAAATTATAGAAATTCTCTTCCCAAGAAAAGATGTCCTGCATCACTCTGGAATCTCTCTACATCATGCCACCCCAGCCACTGTGTGTTAGGTAGTACAGAGACCATGAGACAAAGAAATTACTTACTGGTGAGTTGGTGTACCAGGATGCAGAGCAGTTACTCTCGCAGAAGAGAAAAGACCCATGCTTGAGGACTCAAGCGTCCTTGCTACTTGTGTAGGGTAAAAAGTTCAAGCTCACTTCCAAGTTTCAAAAACCCACCAACCCCTGAGCTCAAAAATCCCAGCAATCCCCCAAGCACAGGACTTGAAATCCCACCAATCCTCAGCCTGGAAATCTCCACCCTTGGAAAACTCCACCTCCAAGAAACCCCAGAGAAGCCCGTCTCCTGCTTAGTTCCTGGTTGCTTCTTGTCTGAGCAGAGACAGCCACCCTCTTGTGTCTTTCCCAGTACATCTCTTGTGTGAGGTTTGTTGTACGGTGTGACTTTGTGGTAGTCTTTGGCTCCCAACTGCCAGGACACCTTTCCCCTCAGAGCTGTGGCACCTGCACTGGGGAGGCCTTTCCTGTCAGAGCTGTAACACGACTTGAAAGATGGAGAAGACTGTCTGCGAAGGTGTGTGCTGATTGGATTTCAAATGATCATAGGACCACCTGGGCATGTCTGGGAGCGTGTGGTCAGAAGGGTTAAATTGAGGAGCAAAGACTCACACGTTCAGGATTTGGATCTCAAACTGAGTGAAGGGGAGAGAGTGAGCTGAGCATGAGCAGTCTTTCTCTCTCCCTCCCTCCCCCCTCTCCCCTCCCTCCCTGCCCCCTCTCCCCTCCCTCCCTCCCCCCCTCTCTCTGCTTCCCAAGGGTCTTCACTTACTTTCTGTTTCTGTGACTGTTGTGATTGCACACTGACCAAAAGCAACTTGGAGAGGTAAGGCTCTAACAGGCCTCCACGTTCTGATCACACTCCCTCACTGAGGGAAACCAAGGCAGGAACTAAAGCTGAGCTCACAGAGAAATGCTGCTTCCTGGTTTGCTCCATGCTTTCCTATTCACCCCACGACCTCCTGCCCAGGGACAGCACCAGCACAGTCGGCTGGGCCTTCCACACCCACCATCAACCAAGGAAGTGCCCCACAGACTTGCGCACAGGCCAATCTGATAGAGGCATCTCCTCAACTGTGGCTCCCTCTTCCCAGCGAGCTACAGCTTCTGTCAAGGTGACCAATCTTGACCAGCGCACTGACTAAGGCTGTGATGTGACCAACTGTCTCATGCATGCCTTTCCTGGAGAGAGGGGCTGTATCTCTTCTGAGACCTTCCCATTTCCAGTTGCCTTTCTGGGCATTTTTGTCACAATAACTAGAAAGGTAATATACTATGTAAGCACCCTCAGGGAGCTGAAGCAGCTGAGAGCTGACAGCCAGTAAGGAAAGAACCACCCCCTAATCACAAAACTGGGATTCTACCAACAGCCAAAAACAAACCGGGAGCAGAGTCTTCAGATAAGAGATTAGTACACAGGTCCTGTGGTTGGTGATGCTGGACTCTGACCAGTACACAGGTACCGTGGTTGGTGATGCTGGACTCTGACCAGTACATGGGTCCTGTGGTTGGTGATGCTGGACTCTGACCAGTACACAGATACTGTGGTTGGTGATGCTGGACTCTGACCAG